CAGGAGGCTGTGTTGGGGTGGGGGCGGGGGCGGGAGGCTCCCCCCTCAGCACTGTTTGGGGCAGGAGTCTGGCAATATGGGAAGCCCTGTCCCTAGTTGGCCACGCTCCTGCTGGTGCAGATGCCCCCAGTGATGACTGCAGCATGGCTCTCCCTTCGATCAGCCCCTTCCCTTTCCATCACATGGGACTGTATTCCTACTTTGAAGGGGCCAGTGTAGACGTAGCCGATGTGTCTGGAATGGGACTGTTTTCCATCACATGGGACTGTATTCCTACTTTGAAGGGGCCAGTGTAGACGTAGCCGATGTGTCTGGAATGGGACTGTTTTCCATCACATGGGACTGTATTCCTACTTTGAAGGGGCCAGTGTAGACGTAGCCGATGTGTCTGGAATGGGACTGTTTTCCATCACATGGGACTGTATTCCTACTTTGAAGGGGCCAGTGTAGACGTAGCCGATGTGTCTGGAATGGGACTGTTTTCCATCACATGGGACTGTATTCCTTTGAAGTAGGAATAAGATCCTCCGGAAAAGGGCGCTTTTTCCGGAGGATCGGGGCCAGTGTAGACGCTCTTTTCCGGCTTTTGTAAAAGCCGGAAAAAAGCGGCGGACATTTTTATTTAAATGCCGCGGGGGATATTTAAATCCCCCGCGGATTTCCCTATTGCGATCTCTGAAATTAACATGCCCCTTCCGGAAAAGGGGCCAGTGTAGACGTAGCCATCCTGTTTTCCTGGCACAACCAAATGCTGACCTTATTTTAAGTTAGGACAAGAGAAAACTGCCTACCAAATGTGGTGGTCCTTGCTCTTACTGCTTAGCTGGAGTTCTTGAGCAAACAGACCTTGCAGATGGACAGACTCTCAGACAAACACGCTCTAAAATATATGTGTAGATTATTTATTAAACCTCAAGGAATCCTGCTTTTCGATTGGCTGTTAGGAAGACTCTTTCAAATCCCAGATTCCCTGCTTTGTATAGTTACTGACCGAGTGTGCTATTTTCCCACAGCCCTGTTCGACATTGGCTACTTGCACCTTGACTAAATCTGACGAGAGCAATTCCACAACCTCCCTTAGCCAAACTCGAGGCCCAGTAGCCAACCTCGCTTAACACTTTCCCCATGTTGGCCGTCAATTTCCTGCACTTGTTTTACACTCCTTGCTTATTTTGCTTTGCTGAGGGAGAAGGTGTTTTAGTCAGAGATGGGCCCAAACCCCAGGTCAGTTTGATCACGGGCTCTTTAATCAAGCAGGCATAGCAATAACCAGACCCAGTGCCTGGAAACTGAAGCTAAATAAAATCAGATTGGAAATGAGCTAATTTTTAACAGGGAGGGTAACTGACCATTGGGGCAATTTACCCAGGGGCTGTTGCGGATTCTCCATCAGTGGCAATTTTGAAATCAGGGCTGAATGTTTTCCTAAAAGCTCTGATTGGGGAATGATGGGGGAAATTCTATGGCCTGTGTTACGCAGAGACCGGACTAGAAGACCACAATGGTCCCTTCTGGTCTGGGAATCTATTAATCTAGATCCAGACTTGGTATGTTCCTAATGGGAATGGGTGAAACCAGCCCCCAGATGGGAATGTGGGTTCAATAATTGGAACCAAACTCAGGGTCAGGGCTGCTTGGGTTTAGCCACTGCAATCTCTGAGCCAGCTCTGTCCGCATTTGTTTATATCATTGTACTGTAGTGCCTAGGAGCCCGAGTCATGGATCAGGGCCCCTCTGTATAGATGCTGTACAAACAGAACAAAAAGACCCCTCCGCATCCCAAGAATGTACAATATTCAGGGTTTGGATCTGGGCCCGTCTCTCATTATAACAGAGACCTGAGCTAGGGCGTTGTCCAGGTATTGGAGGGACGAGGGGCGTTATTCGTGAGAACGGGTGGAGTTGATTTAATTCTATGTCTTTTCCAGAATTTCCCTTTCTGTGTGATGTCTGTGAATCTCACTCGCATCGTGATCCAGGCCCTGAGGGAAGAACGTCTTTCGAGGTGAGTTCACAGCCCAACGTGGCCCTAAAGCCATGTGTGTAACGTCCATGCTGCCCTACCGAAGGCTCCATGTTCCCCTGTGCCAGGGGATCGTGTTACCATTTGGTTTCGACATGCTGCTTTGTAGCGCTGAGCTGAAAACGTGTCCACATGTAGAGAGGAAGGAGTGTGTGGATCCACTCTTGAGCTGGGTAGCAGAGCTAATAATGGAGCACAGCGGGAAGGCTGAGCTGTTTACTGCCTACTTTGCTCTTCATTGAAAAGGTTAATAGTTGACCAGATACTTAACACAATGAATATTACCCACACGGGGGAAGGAACACATGCCACAACAGGAAAAGAATGGATTACAAATGAATTTGTTGTGTTCTAGTTATCAGTGGCTGTTGAAATTCGTCCTAAGGTATATATAATACTAGCTGAAGGCCACAGAACCATTAGCAATTATCTTGGAGAACTTTTGGCGAATGGGTGAGGTCTCAGAGGCTCGGAGAAGAGCAAACATACACTTTGTCTGTACTAACTCCTCCACCATCGATATAATATATGTGATTTCAGCTACGCAAATCGTGGCTGAAGTTAACAAAACTTACCACGGTGTCTTGCATGCAGTAAGATCAGTGGGGGCTACTCTTCCATCCACACCAGCTACTCTTCTTGTCCTGGTGTCAACGGGAGAGTGCTCAGAGATCGATTTATCACACCTAAGCAGACAGGATAAATCGATGGCCGGTGGATCGATCGCTGCAGTGTGGATTGCCAGTACAGTGGAGACAAACGTATAGTACCTGTTTTTTAGAAAGGGAAACAAAATGAACTTATAGATCTGTCAGCCTAACTTTGATAGCTGGAAAGAAACTGGAACAAATAATTAATCGCTTACGCATCTTGAGGATTACAGGGTTTTAAGGAGTAGCTAGCATGGATTTGTTAAGAACAAATAATGCCAAACCAACCTGATTTCCTCCTTTGACAGGGTTACTGGCTTGGTGGATAGCGGCGAAGCAGCAGATACGATATATCTTGATTTTTAGTAGGCTTTTGACATTGTCCTACCTGACACTCACTCATACACAGACTAGGGAATATGGTCTAATGAAATCGCCATAAGGAGGGGGCAACACTGGTTGAAAATCGGAGTAATTATTAATGGTTCACAATCAGACCGGGAGGACACATACTGGAGTCCCGCATCGCTCACTCCTGAGTCCTACGCTAGTCAACATTTGAATTAATGACTTAGCTCAGGGATGGGCACCCATGAGTAATGGATGAGCCGCATGGGTGGTCCTCCTTCGCCTCAGTGGGCTGCAGCAGCCTCCAGCCCATTGGGGTCCCACCTGCAGCTCCCCCACCTACTCCTCTCCCCCTCACGCCTCTCGTACATGGGGCTCTGGAGCCCCTCACTTCCCTACTCCTCCCCCTCCCTCCCATGAGAACAGACTTCAGGAGACAAATCGCTTGATCATTGGCTTCGGTCCACCCTCTCTGGGGCACCTGGTGCTGGCCACTGTCGGTAAACAGGATACTGGGCTAGATGGACCTTTGGTCTGACCCAGTACGGCCGTTCTTATCTTCTTATGTTCTATATTTGGGGCTGTTATAAAAAGCACTGTGATGAATTGTTCTCCATGTCCACCCAAGGTGGGAGGAAAATATAACAGGCTTAATCTTCAGCAAGGGAGATTTAGGGTCGATGTTGGGAAACACTTCCTAAGGGTAGTTAAGGCTGGAATTAGGTTACCAGAGAGTCTGTAGAATCCCCCTCCTTGGAGGTTTTTAAGTACAGGCGGGACGGACACCTGTGCGGGATGGTCTAGGTACCTTTCCTCTAGTTGCGGGATGAGCTAGCTGACCTCTCGAGAAGCCTTTCCATGGGAGCACACCTTGCAGCGTTCGAAATTCACTGGAAAGGAAAGGAACCGGGGCATCGTTGTGCACAAGCCAGTAGACAGCCGTGGTCCGTGTACGGTTGTGGTGCCCCGAGTTACAGCGGCTAATGTCAGCAAGAAGAGGGAGGGGAGACCAAATCTCCCATTTCACAGCTTACGCCAGTGTCTGGTAGAGATCGGGGGAGGCCTAGATTGGGGGCATGTCATCTCCCACCTGCTGTTGCACGGTTCTTACCCTTTCCTCTGTGGCATCTGGTGTTGCTGTGGTCTGTGCCAGGAAACGGGGCCAGATGGAAACTTTGGGTCTGAGCCAGCCTGGCAGTCCCTGTGGTACTGAAAATGTGAGGCTGAAAATTAAGCAGCATCCCAGCATGGCACCTTCTGCTGGAAAGGTAACAGTTAGTTGAAGGTCTAAAGAGTTCTCAAGGGGTTATAGCAGGAAGTGCCAGGCTGCCTCCATCACAGCTGTCCTAGCTGCCGTACCAGCTGGCATTCAGGAAGAAACCTCCGACTGGCGTAAACCCCTTTGTCAGGTGGATCTCTACGGGGTGTTTCTGTAGCGCTTGCCCCTCCGAGTCTGGGTTTGGGTTGGTTGGGGTGGGAAGGCAGAGGTGGAGATAAGCATTGGCGTCCCTGTCTCTTGCAGAGAGTGTAACCGCAGACAGCAGGTCATTGCGGTGCTGAACGATTTGTACGTGGCCACGTTTCTCCGCCTCTTCGTCGTCTGGAGGACACAACAGAAAACAATTTCTGACTCGGGCTTCGTTCTGAAAGGTGCGTTTCCCTGCCGCTTTTCTAAGCAAGGGGCAACAAGTTGAATGTCTGCAGCACAAACCCTGCTTGTTCCATGCACTGTTCACAAGAGCCTGTCTTGGTGCAGAGGAAGGAGGACCTTAAGTTGCCTGTCTTGACGTTATAATAGTTGCTTACATGATGTTCAATCCTCTAGGTCCAGGGTAGTTGGGCTTTGAAAGACTGTACCTGAGGTAACTGGGATTTTAATAGCCCCTTGGGGTTGTCTGTAGCTCCATTTAATCACCTCTGAGTCTGTGCTGTAATTGCAGCGCCTGCTCTTTAGGGACAGGGCGTTGCACGAATGTGGTTTGGAAAACCCAGTGTTTGTTCTGGAGGGAATGGGTGAGGCTAGAACTTCACTGCACCCTAGATAGAGAAGGCTCTTTGCATGTGACATGATTGCAAAATATGGAGGTTGGCTGCTGGCTGCAGGGGAAGAGTTAAGGGCCGCTGGAGGGAAAGATGCATGTGGGGAGAGCAGTGGTTC